GTTATAGCCTTGGGGGCACCTGCCCACCATGGCTGCCCTTTCCTCTCCCACTTTCCCTGGGCAGATGGAATCCTTGCCCTTCATGCACTGTGGCATTTTGTGGGACTGGTGTTTGCCATATTCTCTCAGAGACTGTGGCAGGCCAGGGGTGTTCACTATGTCTGCTGGAGTGGTCTCCACACAGAAAGAAAGAGGCTAGGCACTTATTCGTTTATTTAGAGGACTTCCTCATATTAAAAATGTACTGGGTTTGATTGGCTCAAAATACTTCATTGTATGGCAGTGCTATAATCTAGCAAACCAGTTTCCTTCTACTAGACACGTAGGGACCACAGTAACATCTTTGGTTTTGTTTCTAAATGGAACATAACCAAGAGAAATTAGTGTTGGCTCTTCTCTGCTTCTAGTGTTTTCTCTCTCTCCCTCCCTCTCTCTCTCTCCCCTCTCTCTCCCTCCCTCTCTCTCTCCTCTCTCTCTCCCCCTCCCTCCGTCTCTCCCTCCCTCCGTCCCTCTCTCTCTCCCTTTCTCTCTCCCTCCCTCCCTCTCTTTCTCCTCTCTCCCCCTCTCTCTCTGCCCCTCTCTCCCTCCCTCTCTTTCTCCTCTCTCTCCCCATCTCTCCCTCCCTCTCATTCTCCTTTCTCCCTCTCTCTTTCCCCCTCTCTTTCTGTATGTCTTTGCTTTCACTTTATATTCATTTGAACAACTGTTTCTGAGATCCTCTAAATTAGTTTTGAGCTAATTAATATTTTTAAATGGATTAACCTGTATTGTTTGTACACATTGATGGGATCCTGTGGTTTTCATACATGTCATTTTCTGATCAACCTTTTTCCCACCCACCACCCATTCCTCCTAATCTTTACCAATCACTATTCTGTTTTCAATCCACTTACTTTTTAAAAGGATTATTTATTTTATTTGTGTGTATGTGTTCATTCATGTGTGTGTAGACGCCCAGGGAAGTTGGAGTTGTAAGCCTCAGAATGGGAGCTGGGAGCCCAGCTGCAGTCCTCTGGATGAACAGCAGATGCTCTTAGCCACCAGGCCATCTATCCAGCCCCCAGACTCATTCATTTATTTTTTTAAGTGGATTCTCCTTTTTTCATACAAAATAAGAATAAATGAAAAAATGATTCCAACCACAGGAGCAGCAATGGGTTATATTAAAATGATGCATTTGAGGACAGTAAGTTCTACTCTTTTATGTAAGTTATAGGTCACTGCTGACATTGTAATTTTAAGGATATGTATTATTAGCTATTTTAGTGTATTAGTCATGCTTCTCCAGAGAGATAGTTCTAACGTAATATATATGATAAATATATTTCATATATAAATATATTTCTTAGGCCATTTGGCTCACTCGAGTCCAGAGCACTTGAGTACCTGAAGCTCTTGTATCCAAGGGCAGGAAGAAAGGGTGTCCCAGCTCAGGGGCAGTTTTCCTTTCCCACACGGTTCTAGCCAGTCCTCCAGCCTTCAGATGACACCACTCTGTCCATCGACTTGCAGACCTATCTTTTCTGGAAACACCTCGAAGAGACTTCCATAAATGATGCTTTATCAGTGGATTTGATGTTCCTTAACCCATTAAAACCACTTCCCAAATCTTCCCTCGCCCCCCCCACTTTGGCCTCTTTCCCTCTTGGCTTGCTTCCTTTCTCACTATACCCCACACCACGCCTCCTCTCACGGCCTGGTTCAGTCTGGACTCCTCTAGATGCCTCTGGATGTTCTCTCTCATGTCTACAGTACCTTCTCAACCGTACCTCGGAGTGGTCATGTCCTCATTCTCCTCCAGCCACCAGACCAGTCCTTGTTATGCGGGTGACGAAGGGTGAGTGCCAGCAAAGACCGAGCTTAGATGGACATTGGTTTATTTGCAGTGTGCACTGAATTTCTCCATTCCTTTGGTATTTTTCTAGTAATCATGTGTGGCTTAGAATGGGATTATCCCAATTAGGCTTTATAGAAATAGAAACTGTGTTATTAAACACATGCTACTTCTTTATAATAGATGTGAAAATAACAATCCAAGCAAAAATGTTGTGACTGCTCTAGGGACTAACTAAGATGGTCCATAAAGAACTCAGTACATGGCGCGCTGATGGAAATCCTCTCTGCTAACCCCATGTATCAGTGACATCATCATCGCCATTTGAAAAGCACTCATGAACTTCGCTGTCCCCTGGGCTTACACACAATACACCATAGTGACCTGCTGGCTCTCTGGTGGTCATTTAAACTGTGATTCTCAGGCTTGCTGTTGTTGGTATCTTACTCTTTTGTGGGGAGCCTGTCACCCAGCTCCCAAATAAATCACACACTGAGGCTTATTCTTAATTGTGAATGCCTGGCCTTAGCTTGGCTTATTTCTTGCCTACTTTTCTTAATTTTAAATTAAGATTTTTTTTTTCTTTTGGGCTTTCCTGTTCTGTCAGTCTTATGTTGTTGTTGTTTGAGACAGGTTTTCTCTATGTAGCTTTGCGCCTTTCCTGGAACTCGCTTTGTAGACCAGGCTGGCCTTGAACTCACAGAGACCCACCTGGCTCTGCCTCCCAAGTGCTGGGATTAAAGGCGTGGGCCACCACCCGGCTCAATCTTACTCTTACTCCATGGCTTGCTGTGAAGCTGGGTGGCTGGCCGCTGGAGTCCTCCTCCTTCTCTGGCTCCTAGATCTCTTCACTCCTCCATTTCTTTTCTTCTCCTCCCAGATTTCTCCCTCTATTTATTCTCTCTACCTGCCAGCCCCGCCTATCCTTTCTCCTGCCTGGCTGTTCAGCTCTTTATTGGACCATCAGGTGTTCTATACAGGCACAGTATCACAGCTTCACAGAGTTAAACAAATGCACCAGCATTGTAGCCCAGTTTGTAGAATGCTCACCTAATAGGCACAAAGCCCTTGGATGATCCTCAGCACTGCACAGGCCTGTAATCCCAGCACTTAGAGGTGGACTTTGAAGAGCAGAGGCTCAAGGTCATCCTTGGCTAGCCTGGGACACATGAGATCCTGTACCCACCTCCCCTGACCCCCAAACATATACAAAAGACACTTTATACAAAATCAACTCTAAATGGTCATATACTCAAATATATCATGTAAATGGTGGTGATGGACTTAATTACATAAACTATGACTGATGAAAGTGACAGAATAGTACTGGGGTGTGGCACACTGTATCTTCTGTTCCCATGGACACACTGCAGCCTCTCCTGACCACAGACTGGGGTGTGGCACGATGTATCTTCTGTTCCCATGGACACACTGCAGCCTCTCCTGACACAGGCTGGTTTTAGGCAGTTTGTTTAAGACCAGTCTCCATGTGTGACCAATGTCAATACCACTACTGTACTTTACCAAGGGTTACACAGGACCTGAACAGGAAGATAAGCAGTCTTTAGGAGAATACCAGAGCGAGCTGATCAGACAACAAGCTGTCAACTGCTGACTGAAGATATAAGTGTTGCTTTGGAGTGTCCACTGTGAGCATTTAATATCTTCTTTTTTAAAAATTCTATTTTAATTAACGTTTGTGTGTAAAATAATGGGTTCTTGCTATGGGCTTCAAGTATATGAAATAGAGATTTAGCTGTACACGATAAAGCTAAACCTAGAAGGGTCAGGGAATTCTGGAGGAAAGCCAACTATCATGGAGTATTTGATGTTATTTGGCTTTTAATAGATCACCTGTCTTCTGCTATGAATTTCTTGTGCGCTCATATACTACTAGGCCTTAATGGCAAACAGTATAAGCTTCTCAGACCCACTGCTGATCTGAACTAGGTAACACCCTACAGAGCTTGGGAGATAGGTGGATTGCAAATGCATAGCTTTGTTTCTTGTGCTCAGACCATCCCTTTCCTTCAGGCCTAGTGGCGTTCCACAGCTATTGACTCAGGACAAAAGGATTTTTTGCATACCCAGGTGCAGTGAAGGCTGGAGCAGAATTCCTGGTCCGGGCAGAGGCTGGGGAGAAGAGAACAAGGCAGAGTTTCTGTAGATGGTAGGGCGAGAGTGAGTTGGGCCAAGGAGTGAGGAGCAAGGAAAGGTTTTTGTAGATTGTGGGTGGATTTGAATCAGGTCAAGAGAGGAGAAAAGGAAGGAAAGATGGAGGACAAAGGGCCAGAGGACAAAGATGAGATTGAGAGCATAAGAGCTTAGTTATCACTAGGGCTATGAGAGGACAGGAAAAGAAGGGACAGAGAGGAGCTGAGCGTCAGAACGGAACTGACGCTGTGTAGATAGAATTTAGTCTCAGAGGAATAAAGTGGACAGACAAAGAGCTCAGTGTACTTAGATTCTTTTCCCTCAGATAACCCCACTCTGACCATAGCGTTTTCTCCAGGACTGGGAGAAATCTTCTGAGGACAGGCCCCTTGGAAAATTCCATCAGGTTCTGTTGTGGCGTTTTCATTTTCATGCATGTATATCATCCTTTGTCCTCTTGGCTGCTCATCTACCTTCCACCCCCTTGCTGCCCCAGCTCACCTGGTCCCTTTATTCAGGCCTTGAATATTCTCTTGCCCTCTCCTGTCTTCCCTCCTTTATCTGCAGCCGTCTTTCCCCTCCCGTAGTCTCTTTCTACCTTCATGGTGTATGTGTAACTGCATTTTATGTGTAAATACGTGTATTCATACATCAAATTATACCTATAATCTGTATACATAGATATAAATTTAAGCCTATATTCCATATATAAAATAAAACATAAATACTTGCCTTTCTGGGTTTGGCTTATTTAACATGATTATCTCCAGTTTGATGCACTTCATTGAAAATAACAATTTTAGCCGGGCGGTGGTGGTGCACGCCTTTAATCCCAGCACTCGGGAGGCAGAGGCAGGCGGATCTTTGTGAGTTCGAGGCCAGCCTGGGCTACCAAGTGAGTTCCAGGAAAGGCGCAAAGCTACACAGAGAAACCCTGTCTC